CCTACATCAGAGGTGCCATTTGGGAAACAGACGTCAAGCCTGCAGTGCAGTGCAGACATGTCCAGACCTTGGTTACCAGTGCCTTGGTTCTGAGAGCACAGGCCCTGCTTGCTGAGAGCCTGAGGCTTCCAGGATGCTCATGATGGAGGGTGACGCATTGGGGCGCGCAGGACTGCCAGGGAACTGGGAGACGGGGGCGGGGAGGTTATTCTGAAGTAGAGGAGCAACAGTGAGGGCCTCCCCACCCCCCCCAAAATATACAGTCTAAGAGGCAGGCAGCCCTGCAGGTTATCACAGAAGGTGCCTGACGGCATGGGGTGGCTGGGCAGGCAGGATTCAGAGTTCTCAGATCTTGATGAGGGTGGTGGCAAGTAAAGGGGTCATGGGAGTGTGGCTCTGGAGGAAGGTGAGTGTGCAGTTAGTGGAACCTGGGCACACGATGTCCAGGGCTGGAGTTGGCATGTCGAGGTCTTGAGAAGGCAGAGAACACAGCTGACAGGGTGTAGGATGAGCTACGTTGGAGCAGGATGGCCTAGGAGTGTGTGGCTCCAGGGAGCGGTGTCCAAGCTGCTCTGTGAGATGCGCCCTGTGGACTGAAAACGCGTTTTACCTGCACATTGTAGCACACCCCACATGGCCTTCAGTACATTCTGGGACATGCCAGTCCCACAGACATGAGTGCTGGGTGCAGTGTTGTTTTCGCACAGGTGCTCCTAGCAGACAGTTTTGGGGTGGGATAGGAACTCATCCTGCTGCGTCCAGGTAGCTGCTGGGGGAGCTTGGCCTGCCCTCGCCATGTCGTAGGAACCAGGCACAAGGGATGCTAAGGGAGTCAGCTCTGTCTACTACACGCTCAGGTGTGTGTGTTGGCGCAAAAATAACTCCATCTTTTGATATACCTGACACCAGATTGCCCCACTGCTGTTAACTTGCCCCACCTTCAGTGCTAACGATAGCCTGGAGGGGCGGCAGCCGGGCAGAGCAAGGCCTTCGGCTGGTGCGCAGTGAGGTGGGAGAGGCTGAAGTGTGTCCCCTGTGTGTGCTATTTTGATGCTGTACCTGTTGTTAAAGTTGAGCAGGAGTGTCCCCGTTCTCTCCCGTGCAGATGCTGCCCACCAGCTGTCTGGTAGGAAGGGTCTCAAGTGATGACAACCCTGAAAACCTGGCAGTGCTGGGGGGCTGCAGTGGCACAGTTTTCATTTCTACTCTAAGCTGCACTGAGTTTGCGTTACTTGCATCACAGATGGGGCCCGGCTCACGTTCCAGACGGAAAACATGAGTGTTCGCTGGCTACCTCAGAGAACTGCCAGTCACCTGTGGAGTTGTGGAGGGATTGTCAGCATTTGAGGTGTGGGCTGCTGCTGCTCTCCTGTGCAGGACTGGCCTTGTGAGCCACCTGGGGAGTGTACAGGTGTGTGTGCGCAGTGTGGCACCGGCCTACTGGCTGCATGGCTGACGCCAGGGTCCTCAGCATCCTCATGGTAAAGGCCGCTTGCTATGGGGGAGGGGATCTGGGAGGTTGAGCAGGACAGAGCCGCGGCAGGCATGGCCTTCATCACCCATCCTGCTGCAGCGACGCCTGTGGTAGCCTGCACGGCGGGGAGCACAGCCCCCTGCTTCCATCACAGTGGGTGTGGGACTTCCTCCCTTCCTTCCCATGTGGGAGACCCGGTAGAGGCTCCTGGCTCCTGATCAGTGGCCACAATGGTCAAAGCTGAGCCAGTGCAAAGCCAGAAACTTCCTCCGGGTCTCCCGCGCGGATGCAGAGCCCCAAGGCTTTGGGCCGTCCCAGGCCACAACAGGGAGCTGGATGAGAAGTGGGGCAGCCAGGATTAGAACTGGTGCCCACAAGGGACCCTAGTGTGTGCAAGGGGATGAAACAACACCCAATAGGGTGCTAGCACTTGCAGGAAGAGGACTAACCCGTTCAGCCACTGTGCCAGCCCCATGGATTTGCTCTTTTTGCTGTAGTTTTCAGGGGATAAGTCCAATTTGGAGCTTACAGATTAATCCTTGTAATTCTGTTGTGTACATGTGTCAGAGTTTACTTGGACATTGCTGTTTTTTCTTTCCTTTTTCTCCTAGGGGTATTTATGATCTGTTAGTGCTCCCTTCTGCACAGAACCTCTTCTGTCCCAGTCACTGGTGGGCGTGACCTCTGAACAGACATTTTCCTACAAACTGGAACCAAGGGAGATACATGTTGCCAGCAATCTCAATGGGTGGCCGTCTCCGCTCCAGCAGTGATGCCCAGCACAGTGACCGCAGTGACTGGCAGCTCCTTAGCAGCTGCCTTGGGATGAGGAGATGGGGTTCAGTCCGTCGGCAGCCCCCCCAGAGAGCCCTAGGACCGCCCAGGTCAGGGAGAAGTTGCTTTGCTTCATGGCCATGTGAAGGAAGGGAATGGCTGGACCAGGATGTCCCCAGCCAGGTTCCCCTCTGGAGCCATCTGCTCTATCAAGCATGCACTGAGCACCTCAGGGTGAGGCGTGTGGGAGGGACATGGCCAGCGGCTGCTGGCAACAGCATGTCTGGGGTTGAGGCCAGCCTTGACCCACCCTGGGAGGGGGTAACGGCGGGCTCTGTGGACAAGTTCCAGCCTGTGGCTCTGTCATGTCCTCGGCACCTCTGACTCTCCCACAAGCTGGAAACCACCACCGCCACCAAGGACAGAAGGAACGTGCTGGGTTCACTTGGCAACTCAAAGAAAAACCCAAGGCCATCATGGTCTTCGAGGGAGTGAGACAGTGGATGGGAGATGTGTCTCTCTCCCTCTCAGGAACTGGGTCGTGAGTAAATAGGCCACTGATGTCACAAGACCAAAGCAGGAAGGCACCTGCATCCCTCCTTCCTGGATGACAGCAGTGGCACTAGGCTGCCCTGGGCAGTCATTTCATTTTTTGGGGTGTTCTCACACAGTGGGTGGGCGCTTTCCACCTTCCAGAGACTTTTTGACTGACTCAGATTATTCAGTGGGGCCGGTGGCACGGTGTAATGGTGTAAACCACCACCTCTGTGTACTGGTATCCCATGTAAACACCAGTCCAATTCCCCACTGCTCTACCAACCCAGCTCCTTGCCATCATCCCTGCCCCACTGAGACGCGGATGCTCCTACCTTTGGCCATAGCCTTGGGGGCATCTGGGAAGTGACCTAGCAGCTGCAGGATCTCTCTCCCTCTTATAAGGTCATTTGCGCCACTCACCGAATGGCCAAGCAGGGCCCCAGTACCAGAGCTGTCCTTTGCTGCTTTCCCATGCAGATTTAGTGATGGAGCCACAACTTGAATTGGTGCCAATGTGGGTGACTTAACCTCCTGCACAACACTGCTGGCCCCACGGGCAGAGCTGAAGGCAGCAAGGTGACAGCTGGGGCCCTGGGCCCAGCATGCTCGTGCAGCCTTCACTGTGGACCCTCAGAACTGGTGATCTCAGGGCAGAGGACACCAAGGGGCCAGGTCTGCAGCAGTGCTGAGCCCCACCTCGGTTGCCAGGACCCCCAGTGGGGTGTGTGGGACCCCCTGCCTCGGCTTTGGTGGCAGGTGCGGCGGTCATTGGCACACAGGCAGGGATCCTAAGACATGTGTCATCTGGCTGGCCTGGGAGCCACCCATGAGCGCGGGGGTCCAGCCACGCTGACCCACCGTCTGCCTGTGTCAGAGGCAACAAGGGGGCTGGAGCACCCGTGGAAGACGAGCTGGGACGCCCACTCATGGCACCGCCCTTGGAGAGTTGGTGGGAGGCCGACCCGAGTAAAGAGTGGTTCCCCAGGAGAGAAGATGGGTGGCAGCTGCCAACAGGCTTTGGGCCCACAGCCTGGAAGCCCTAGACTGGCATTGCCAGTGCAGCAGTGGAGAGCAGAGTGGCATTGGTGGGCACACCTGCAGCAGGGGCACCAGGGGCAGAGCCCAGACACTACCCAAGAACAGCCAGTAGGTCGTTGGCTTGCCCTGTTAGACACACAGGCCTGTGCCCAGCACAGTGTTGCTGTTGGATGAGTAAGATACTCACAGGCATTTTCTGATCTATCTGCTGTCTTGGGCCGAGCAGGACCTGCTGTGAACGGGGTTTGCTGTGACTGGGAAGCTGCTCCTGTAGCCGTACCCCCCGGGGCCAAGCAGGTCAGCTGAAACTTTGTCCCTCTTTTATCACCAGCGAGGCAAGACTTTCCCACCAACTCCAGGGGCATGGATGGCAGCTGAGCTCGTTACTGATGGCCTCACCTTGCCAAGGTAAGAGGTGTCCTTATAGAGGCGTCCCTGGGTGGAAGACACGGAGACCCCAGCAGGGAACGCATACCCACGACTTGGCGCAGCCACACGTGGTTCCTATCCACACTGAGACCCAACAAACTGGCAGTGCAGACATGGGCACACTGGCCCAGGCACCTCAACAAACCTCTCCATGTTCTGGTTGGAAGCCAGAATGACTCCACATGGCTCACCTGTAAAGCCAGCGGCTTCCTATGTGCAAGTTCTGGGGAAGATGGCCACGGAGGGGACCTCATGCTGTGACCCCCCATGCCCTGTGGAATGTGGACACCGATGGCAGGCAGCAGTTTGTCACTGCACCATGCCACCAGGCCCTGGAACCTCAGGAAAGAGACTTGCATTTCTGTGTTCAGATTCATCCAGAAGTATCAAGTCTTGACTGCCCCTGCTTCAGAACTGCTCAAGTCTGGAAGGTTCTCTATGAGCCATGCTGGCTGCTCATCTGAGGGAGGATAGCCAGGCACACGTGTGCCAGAGGCAGACAACAGGCTGGGGCAGAGCAGGAGCCCCGCACTGGGCTCTGGGAAGGTCAAGTGTTATCTGTGTGGCTCTCCATCAGGGTAAGCGTGCATACTAAGTACCTCACTGAGGGGAAACACCAGGCGCTGAACACGGCCCATGACAGACTGCGAGACAAAGCTGGAGCAGCACCGAGCCCTCCAGCCACCACCGCTATCCAGCGACAAGCATGACCTCCCGGCCAGCACCACTGCAAAGAAATCGGGTTGTGTTAATGCAAATAAATATCCTTTATTAAAGAAAACAAGGAATATTGTTAAGCACCAAAACTGTATGTTGTTACATTGCATGTGCAGAGGGAAGTGACGGTGACATGTGGTACAGAGTCTAATGCTGAAGTCGTAGTTGTGAGTGTAAAAGACAGGAAGTACACAGCCATACAGTCGTGCTGCAGAGTTGCACTAACCAACAAAAAGGCGGTCAGGCAGCTACTGGGGGGTCGGTCTGCGTATTGCTCTAAATGCTTCCTTAGCTTCGCCTCTTGTTAATACATCAGAGTGTTAACTGAGCCTGTTTTAGGATGGAAGTCTGCAGTGCCGTGTGCAGTGTCCACTCCCAGTGACGGGCTCAGAGTCATCTTTTAGAAGCTGGGCACCAGGTGCCAGTGTGTGGTGCTGCCCAAAGCCATGAACAGTGAATCCATGTGCTACTGAACTTACGTCAGCCCTGGGGCTCTCACCTGTGAGAGGGCGGCCTACAGCTAGCACCCACTGCACCCACCTTCACACGACCAAGCTTGTCAGTCCAGGTGGACCTCACCAGCTGAGAAGGCCACAGTAGGGACGGGAAATTTGCCACTGAGTACAGTGTCGCTGGCGCTGGGGATCCAGAGGAGCGCCGTATGCCTTTGCGAGAGGGCACCCCTATAGCTTCACCCCTGCTCCTCTGCCCTGCACCCTGACTGGACCTGGAATGAAGACGGCTTCCCAGGGCTGTCGCAGGACTCAATGCGAGCACGTGAGCTTCAGAGGTATTTTCTGTCTGTGCCCCTTGTAGGGACAGAATGAATGGAGAAACATGGGTGGATGTAGAATATTCCATCAGCTATAAGAATGCCACATTGTGCAATTACTGTGAGCATAACGGAACATTTTAGAACAGCATCTTTGACTCAATGGGCAGACACTTAGCGTGCACACACACACACACAGTCTGTGAATGCTGACTCCTTTTCACCCTGAAACACCTGCTTACATACACAATCATTTAGGCAGCCATAAAAACTCATTTTGTAGGAAAAATGTTTACATTGTACTTATAGGATTAAAATATGCCATGGCTTCCTGGTTCAAACAGCTTCACTCGAGTGGGTGGTCAGGCGTGCACGGCTGGGCAAAGCTTGCCTGGCAGCTCTCAACAAAGTGTAGTTCCTTCTCTATGCTAAACAACAAATGGGAAATAAAATGCTGGAGATATGCACATTTAGCTTTATATTGTCTAGTCAGTGCAAGAGTAAGGTCAAACTGAAGGTGCCTATGATCAAACGGTTGTATTACAAGCTGTCACACCAGTGTTGAAATGTTTTCAAGCTGTGTGTTTTGTACAGATAACCTGACAGAATTTCTCCCCGATGGGCCCTTCCAGTGACAGGGCAGGCACTCCCCCCGCACTCTAAGTGGGGATGTTCAGTAACAGCTGGAAAGGCACCACTTCTCACAGGAGCAAGCTTCCCCTTAGCTAAAAGCACTGCGTTACGCAGTTTAGAATGCAGCCACTGCACACGGGTCACAGTCCCACTTGGGAGGCCAACGTGCTGGGCATTTTTGTTCCAGGGGTGAACTACTGAGTGTCTGCTATTGCTCGCTGTGCCTGACAGCTCAACATACGCTGTGGCCAAGGGCCTGGCCTTCTGTTAGCTCAAAAGTGCAAGGAATTTCTCCCCCCTCAACTTAGAAACTTTCTGTGGTGTCAGAAACAGGTCCCTGGCTATCTTTGTAGCACAGTTTTAGCTCCTCAGGGAAGAGCCATGGGATGATTGTTCTGTGCTGCTCTCAAGCTTGGTAAACCTCAGGCACCACACATTCCTTCAGATGAGCCTTAACAAAAAAGTGCAGCTGCGCTGGCACAGCCCACATGGGTTCTGAAACCACAAGGCAATCAATGTGACGGCTCACCTGGTGACCGCACCCACCACGACAGTTGGGAGAACCCTGGCTTGCCTGGAGCGGTCATCTGTAACTTGTGGGACTGGGAACCTGACTCCTGGGGCAGCCAGCCCTGGGCTCTCCTCTACCCTGCAGCACACCCGAGGTGCCCCCTCTGCTTGCCAGAGTCTCGGCACATGTCCAAGGACCCCAGAGGACAAGATGCCAGTGCTTGCTGCAAACCCTCCACTACATACTTGCTATTAAGTGGAGAGCAGAAAATCCACTCAGGATTTTTAAAGGTGTGTAAATTCACTTAAAGCTTTGCAGAGGTACTCGTGTAGTCAATGACCGGGCCAGGAGCACAGTGCTTTCCTGAAGGCTTGTGGGACACCTAGACGCCATGCTGGGATGCAGGCGACCTACCCGGTCTTAGAGTTGACCCTCCCAGGCACGGGGTGGTGGCTGGGCTGGCACGGGAAACAAGCAACGAGAAAGCATGGCACCAACAGCCGCTGCCATGTTGAAACCCTCATCCTGCAGGGTCAACTTGCAGAATGAAAGGTCGTGAGCATCTTGTCTAGGACACTGGGGACCCTGGCTCCCCGAATCTGACCTACTGGCATAGGCCTTACAGCCGCTCTTAGCCCCCAACAGCTTAGGGCCAGCCCTGCAGCACATCCATGTCCATAGCTGTGCCTAGGCCTGGCTTAGCAGCTTACAATGACTGGCGACAGCAAGGGATGGCTGCTCCTATTCCGTGCAGTGACAACAGCAGCCCCAGAAGCTTCCTGTGTGTTCTGTGGAATGTGTCTGCCACCTTGGAACACGGAACATGACGAAACAGGAGGTGCATCCTACCACCAAATCCTGATGCTCAGGACACTCACCCAAAACAGTGCAAACACAAAGATAAATTGGAAACATTTCAAAACTGTAAGGTATTGCTTTCATAAACAAGATGAGCATAAAATTCATATTATAAATTCAGGATGAAAAGCTATTAAAAGGATGGAATTTTCTATGTTTCATGACCTTGCGACGTGTAGACGGCCTGTGAAGCACACACTGGGGGGTCCGTGTCCCCGGCAGCCCGCAGCCGCCTCTGCAGGAATGTTCGCGTGTGGCCTGCACTGGCCGACGGGCTGCCTGTGCGTGGGCTCCTGCAGTGTCCCTGCTGTCATCCCGCTGGGCTCCCAGTGAGCGCAGCATCCGTGGTGTCGGGTGGGAGGAGATGCACGGACAGCAGGAGCCTGCCATATGGGAACACTGCACACCCACCTCAGGCTGGGACCGTTGGCTGGGAGGGTGGGACACAGGACGGCCAGGCAGGGGTCCTCGTTTCCAAGGCAAGTCAACACTCTTTGGATCTAAGGTAATCCAGCCGAGGAATGGAGCTGCAACCTGCGTTTTCCAAAAGAAATTTTCCTTTTTTGGTTAAGTTGCCTGTTTACAAACAAAATGGAACAAGATATTAGAGCATGGCCTCAGCAAGGCGGCCAGTCTGCCAGCGCTGACCTCCAACCGCAGGACAAGCAGTGATGTCTGACCTCAGGCAGTGCTCCCTGCACAGCACACAGGAGGTGCTCCTTGCAGAGACTGCAGAGCAGGCAAAGTGCGGACACAATGAGGTGGAACTGGCTTCTCTTGTTAAAGGGTCGCTACCGTCTCCTGCTTGATTACAAGCGTGGGTCTGACTCCCACACGGTGGCTCCTGACTGCGACAGCTCCGCATGGGAGGCCTGGAAAAAGACCCTACTGTGTGGTGTGGCTGGGAACTCACGCATTCCGCCTCTCACCTGCATGAGAGAATCTGTTCCATGGACAGGGAGGGACTGAGCTTACCCTGTGTTGCAACAGCGTGTGTACCCAAAGGCCTACTTATAGGATGAAAGCTGATGGGCAGCTAATGCAACTGGGAAAGCTCAAACTTAGTTTGACTTAAATAAATTACAGTATAAAAAATGTTCTTTATTAAATCAAGTTGTATTGTTTAATAGGACACTAACTAGTAAACCATGAATTGAGATGAACCACAGGCCAAATGTAAAACAGAACACTGCACCAGGAGTTACTGCTCTGGTCAAACTTGGTAGTAGCAGGTCCCATACAGGCACCAGTTCAAGTCCTGGATGCTCCCTGCACATGTGGCCTGGGGAGGCAGTGGAGGACCAGGTGAGCAGGTGAGTCCAGGCCATTGCAGCCACCTGAGCAGTGAACCAGCAGATGGAAGCCCTTTCGGTCTGTCTCTGTAAACTACTCTTCAAATCTTTTCCTTCAAAAATGGATAAGATTCAATTTCACATGGCCCTTTCCACTTTCGTACAATTCTATATGAGATCCACGTCATGTTTCAACCGTGTTTTGATGTCTTCCTGTCATCGAGTCACTCTCCAAGTGGCCAAGGCAGCCTGTTCTGAACCAGCCTGAAACCCGTCTAGCTCTCCTGTTCTGCTGCTTTCTCAGCTGTTGAGCAGAGCAGGAGTAGGAGGAGCAGCAGCCGGGACTTGACCTAGCGCTGAAGTGGGATGCCGGCTTTCGAAGTGGCAGGTTGGCATGCTATTTTGTCAGCAGCAAGAATGGCCAAGCAGCAGGTTCTACAGGAGAGCAGATGGCCCTGGAGGTAAGAACCCCTTGGGAAGAGCTGTGGAGCCGAACCTTCCCATCTCGGGGAATCCTCATGAGCACAGGACTCTACTGGAGAGGTCAGGGGCAAGCGGAGCCTTGGTAAGCAGCAAGGCCAGCGGCTCCCCGGGGAGCACGGCCGTGCAAGGCTCCGTGACAGCCCAGCTCGACACCTTGGTCGTGGGGACAGTGACTTGCTTGCTCTTCCTGCTTCCCCTGCAGGGCCTAGTCAGGTTCTCTTAAAGGACCAGGCAGATGTCTGGGAACGCGTGTCCCTCAGTACTGACCAAAGAAAAGCCATGCCAAGTCCCCTTCCAGGCCTGTGTGTCCTTCCCCACCCGACACTGGGCGGCCATCAGGAGCCCAATCACATGGCCCTGGTCCCAGGCTGCTGCTTAGCAGCTTAGCAGGAGTAGACAACACAGCAGATGGCAACCTGTGCGAGACTGGCTGTCAGTTCAGCCATCAGCACACCTGAATCAGGCAGGACAGAGTGCTCCTGAGTGGGCAAAGTGTGGACAGGAGACAGAGAAGTGTCCACCTAACGGACCCAAGCCCCAAACAACAGGGAACCTCTCCTACAAAGGCTGTGACAGAAGCAGGACGATCTCTCCCTGTTGTGGCCAGCAAAGCGGACTCTTGGTGAACTCAGCCTTCCACCACAGATGTGCACAGCGTGGAGACCAAGAACGGATGCCTGGGCCAGCTGGAGCTGCCACTCCCTGCACCACCCAGGTCTTGACCAACTACTGGCACAGAACATCACATTCCCAGTGGATCGCCTGCTACATGACCCTGGTTCTGTCCCTGTGCACATGTGCGACCTACAAGATCAGGCCCCCGCACAGCAGTAACAGTGACAGCCTGGGCAGATCCCAGATGTAAGGAGACCCAGGAGTTCCCGTGCACCTCTGTGTGCACAGGCAGGAAGGCTGTGCACACTTCATCAGCAGTAAGAAAGAGCACTTCCTGGAGCCTGGGTTTGTAGACTCCACGAGGGGAATAGTATTGTGGCATGGCAGGTGATGCTGGCATCACATGGATGCACTTCTGACCCTGTTCCCTGCTAATGGCCGCTGCCACTCACATGGGTGACCCACAAGACTCTCCTGGTTTTGGACCGGCGCAGCCTGAACTATTAAAGCCAGCAAACAGTCTTTCCTCCCTCCTCTCTAACTCAGCCATTCAAATAAAAAAGCAAAAGACAAGAGTGAGGTGGAATCCAGCCTGAGCTAGCATGCACTGTGCGATGTGCAAGGGCGCAGCCGCCCCAGGACAGCCTGGGCCCAGGGAAGCCACGTGGCGCACCTGTCAGTTCTCCCAGTCCGTGCCAGGCAGGGCCTCCTCCTCGTCCTCTGACTCAGGGGACGCCTCCTTGATCCTCCTCAGGGCCTCGTGGATGCTCCGCGTCAGGGGGTCCGTGTCGGGCAGCAGCGTGAAGGACTCCCGCAGCACCTCCTTCTGCACCTTCTTCAGCTTCACCCCACGCCGGATCTGCGCCAGGATGTTGTTGCTATCGTCCTCGTTAGGGAACGGCGGCAGAGTCCGCGGTTCTACCTTCCGCAAGTGGAAGCTGCCGCGCTTCAGGGAGGCCAGCACCTCGTCCATGGGCGAGCTCACTTGGGAAACAACAGTGACAATTAGAGCTCGCACCCGTGCCATTCCGGGGTCGATGCTGGACTGACCAGGCACTGGGGTAAAACCTCCCACTCGGGCTCCAAGCTCCAGGAAGCAACAGCCCCTGCCTGTCACCCGCAGGAGACCATGTATCCAAGGCACAGGCGGTAATTGGCTGCTAAGTGTCACTGCTTCCAGGGTTCCCATTCCATTGCAACCATGCGTCACAAGACCGGCCAGCCCCAGGCTTAAAACCACTTTTTCCCATACCCATGCAGGTCCACCGCATGGCCCACTGCAGCCCCGGCTCACCTCTGCGCCGGGGCAGGCCCTCAGCAGTCTTGCGGAGCTTCCTGCGGGCGCTGACCAGCTGGCTGCTGTCCAGCAGGTGCGCAGAGGGCACATTGGTGAGTGTAGGAACGTGCTCCCCCCGCTGCTGCTCTGTGTGTGAGCCTTTCTCCGACGTCGCAGGGGTGCTATAATGGTCATTAATGATGGGCAGCGGTGGAGGAGGTGGCGGGGGTGGTGGTGGAGGTGGCGGGGGTGGCGTGGGAGGAAGAGTGGGTGGGAGAGGCTCCAGGGCAGACGGATGTGGCTGATGGTCAGGGCCAGGAAGGAGAGGCAGGGAGAGGGCAGAAGGAAGAGAGGCTGGGAGCGGCTCGGTGGTCGCTGGGTCCAGAGGTAAGGAGGTGGCTTCAAGTTGCGTTGTGGGTGTGTCCGGGAGGCTGGTGAGGCTGAGGGGCTGTGTGTCCCGCCCCCGTCCCACAGTTCTCTCCTCCACTTGCGAGCTGGGTGCAGCGTCCCCGGGGGCGCCTCTCCTGCGGGCATGTGCCAGCCGCAGCCGGGTGGACTTCAGGATGACTTGCCCCGGGTACTTCTAAAACAGAATCATTGCAGCTGGCTCACTCACCAGAGAATTTTCTATGAACAAACTCCTGTTGACTTTCTCTGAGAAATGCAAAGATGCTATTTTGGCTCTTCATTGATTTTCAGAGAAAAGCCTCTTGGCAAACATGACACAGAAAACTAGAATCCAGAGGCCTCACCTCTTCCAAGCAACGGCCGCCAACCCCTATTATTCTGCTTATCAAATCCTATTGTCTTATTATTATAGTCACTATTTGAAATTTAATGGATAAAATCCTAGTAAATGGGAAAATGAATAGCAGAAATAACACAGGCCATCAAGCGCCAATGTTGTGGTGCAGCAGCTCTATAAGGTCTTGCCTGCTTCCTCTGCATGCACCCCTCCCCGAGGATGGAGGCAGCAGGGACTGCCCTGTGGGATTGCAGGTGGAGTCCCAGGACCGTGGCTGGAGCCCGGCCCGGCCTTTCTAACACTCTGCGGTGTGCACCAGGGGATGGAAGATCGCCCTTTCTCTATGATCTTGCTTTCAATGAAACATTTTCTCTAAAGATGTTAAATACCTGTTCTTTGGTAGTATAGAATGCCAAGGAACTATCAGTTTCCAACTTAATTACTAAAGCTTACAACTGAAAAAATAAAATAAAAGCTGTTTTAGTGTTCGCCTGAGGTGTGAGTAATCCCCGATAACCTGTGTATGTTACAATACAATGAAGCGGACAGGGGATCTTCCAAGTACTGCTGTGCAGCCATCCCTATTTCCTGCCTTTGGAAACTTACCAAGATGGCCGTGGGAGCTGCAGATCCACATGGAAATGTCAAGGGACAAGTGGCACGGCTGCCCCACCCAGACACTCCCTACTGACAGAGGAGCCCACACAGGCTGGCGTGTGAACTGCTATGTTAGGTGTTTTTAGGAATTGGAGGAACCCAGATTCCCTTGAGCCACTCGGGGTGTGTCCCAGGGGCCGCAGGAGTAGACTTGAAACAGGGAGGGATTTCCACCATTAATATATTTTACCAATTAAAATTTTATTTGCTAAATTACTCAAGCGGCAACAAGAGACAGCAGTACCTATGAACTGCCCTAGACTGGTTCACTCAAACGCCGACCACTGCGGAGCTGGGCCTGGGCTGAAGGCAGGACCCCCACAGGTGGCAACAACCCAGCTACCTGAGCTATGGCTGCCACCTCCCCAGCTATGCAGCAACAGGAGCCAGCAGCCAGCCAGGGGACCATCTGAACTGAGGAAATACCTGTTCCCTGATACAGTGGAAATAAAGGGAGGGGACTCCTGCCATGTGGCAAGGCCGCCTGCATTACCTGTTTGAAAGTGCGGAGTCTGTCCAGTGTTTTCTGTCTTTCCTGGCTCACCCAAGCACTTTTCCTTTCTTCTTCATCATGTATTTTCTCCCTCTTCTGTGAAAATCAGCAAGAATCCCATTATGCTATGCCCCATTTGCTCTGAGCGCCCTCACAGGTGGCACATTCTGAACAGAAAGCACTGTCTGACACATCGGCACACACCTGTGCTCCACCCCACGTGGAGCAGCGTGGGCTGGCACCGTCACAACACCCCGGGGTCAGCAGCTCCTCCCTTACGGTTCAGCACGTGCAGACTGCTCCGTAGTCAGCGGGCAGGAGACTGCGTGACTGTGCACAGGGGCGTTAGTTGACCCTTGTGCCTGGTGTTTCAGGCCTGGAAATGTCTTCTACAAAACCAGACATTTTCACGTGAAAAGTAACCTGTGGCTTCCCTTCTACCACCTGCACAGGGGCGGGGGATGTGGCTATAAGCAGCCAGCGGGTCCTCCAGGCAAGGGACACAGGCCACGGCTGGGAACACCTGGCACGTTTGAGCGCCTGGGGCTGCATGTGGACCCCTGCCGGCTCCAGGGAGAGCTGGCACCTAAAGGACCGCGACCATTGTAAACACAAGGCAACGGTGGGTTGCACTTTGTGTAGCGTGGCAGACCAACTCACTCAGGATGCGTGCACCCCATCACAGTGCCGGCTGATCCCCCAACTCCACTTCCCAGCCAGCCTCTTGTTCGTGTCCCTAGGAAGCCAGCAAAGCACAACCCGAGTTCTTCAGCCCTCTCTACTGCCAGCAGGGAGCAACAAGGGTGCCTGGTTCGGTGGATCGGTGCAGCTCCGGCCATTATGGCCTTTGGGGAGTGAACCACTGGATGGAAGATCTTTCTCCTATCCAATTAAATTTAAAGTGAAATGAAGTAATACACAGACATTAAGATACTAAATAATTCACGAAAAAGAGCATGCTGCGGGGCAACGACTTTCCAGGGCAACAGATCAACAACTGTGGGGAAGGGAAAGCCTAGGAGACCCCCTGGTCATCTCCACCCGCCCCGCCCGCAGTCACGAGCAGCGCGCTGGAGGCAGTCTGCTGGCCTGGCCACCATGCGGCGGGCAGTGAGCCTATCAATGTGAGTGGGAGATGAGCAGGTGGCCACCTCAGCAAGGGCAGGGTATGCATCAGCCCCGTGCGAGAAGCAGGAGGATCTTACAGAAGGCCTTCAGAGAACTGCCCAAGAAAGGAACTCCTCAAGGCCAGTTTGTCACGAGACCAAAGCCAAGCACCCCGGGGACCCGGACCACTCCTCATCCCTCATCCCAAAAGCTTCCCATTGGAGAGTAAGGACAGAGCTGAGCACGGCTGAAAGCACAGCCTCCGGGCTGGCCCAGGGCGCCCGGCTATGGCAGCACCCTGTGTGGACGCAAGCTCAGTCCCTTTCTGACCAAAAACCCATCTAGGCTCTGCTCACGTGCGAGGGGACACTGACACACTCGCATCGTGCCCAGGCGACAGGGCAATCAGAGCATGAAGCAGGTAAAGGGCTGCTATCAGAAGGCAATGTGAGTTCAATGAAATATTCTGGAAGGTTTCTATGAACCGTACTCCACGTGTGCTTTCGCGAAGGGAAGCTTTGTGGTTTCCAATTGTGGTTACCTTACACAGGAATGCGTGAACTTGACTCCCACTACACTACACACATCGTAGATAAGTTAACAGGTTAAAATGCAATCTTTGGGGGCCCAGTGAGGTAGCCTAGTGACTAAAGTCCTCACCTTGCACATGCTGGGATCCCATAAGGGTGACAGTTCTAATCCCAGCAATTCCACTTCCCATTCAGCTCCCTGCTTGTGGCCTGGGAAAACAGTTGAGGACGGCCTAAAGCCTTGGGACCCTGCACCTGCATGGGAGACCTGGAAGAAACCACAGGCTCCTGGCTTTGGATCGGCTCAGCTTTGGCTGTTGCAGCCAGTTGGGGAGTGAATCAATGGATGGAGATTTTCCTGTCTCTCCTCCTCTGTGTATATCTGACTTTCCAATAGATAAAAAAAAATCTTTAAAAAAAAAGTCTACTAATATTCACTTTCCCATTACATATTATGAATCCATTCTTCTATGAGCTTCTGTGAAGTTTCCACATATGTTAAAGGCACAGTGAGGCCAGAAACAAGCTTTTGGCTGGGATCTGGGGAGAAGAAGGGGTTCATGGGAGGAACACAGGAATCTACTCTGCATTCTACCTAGCGGAGTCCTCCCAGCAGGACGCACTGGTCCAGCTGCACAGCGCAGCAAGGACAAGCCTGTGTGAGCAGTGACGGTCAGTCTCAGTGCTGCTCAGCCGACCGTAACTAGCGCACCATGCTGCTGTACCATGAATGGTGTGTGTGTGGAGGGGAACTCCGTATCCTCAGCCTCAGTTCTGCCTCAGAACTGTGCACACACCCACACACACATCGAATCCTACAAGTCGTCTCCTTCGCTAGGGCTTCCATCAGCCTCCAGTCACAAGGCTCCACGAGGCCCCACTTACCAGTTGTGCTGCGTGATGGGCTTCATACTCCTCCTCACTGCGCGTGCGCTGCTGTAACTTTTCCTTGTGTTTTGCAATGCAAATTTCCTATAATACACAAAATGTGACTGAACACAGTTAAAATCTGAATCATCGCCCTGATGCTTGCTTTGACTCAGTGTGGAACACCTAGAGGGCAAGGAGTGCCCAATAAAAGCCCGTCCTGCCCTTGCCTAGACTGCCGAGCCCGCCTCACCAGCCTCACCGCAGAGCACCGGAGCATGTCCCAAGTGACCCACCCAGGCCTGAGGAGCTCCCGGGGCCCTGGGCGTGCATACCTTCTTGTTTCTGAGGTAGGCTTTCTTGGCGGACACCCGCCCGCGGCGAGCTTCCAGCTGGCGTGCCTTCTGCTGCAGCTTCTGCAGCTCCTCCCTCTGCACCAGCACCGAGGCGGCCAGCTCCTCCTTCAGCATGGCCTCCATGCTCTCGTAAGTGTCATAGTACACCACTTCGTCCCTCTTCTCTGCCAGGGGAGAGCAACAAAGGCGGAGCTGGCAACACCTGCCTGCTGGGGTACAGCCAGGCAGAAGTGGGCTCAAGCCCCCCAGCTGGACCCACTCCTTGGCTCCTTGTCCAGTGAGAATTCTCAAGAAGCGCCCAGTATGGCACCTGCATGCGGCAGTGCAGGGCACCCCACAACCAGCAGAACCTACATGGCCCCGCCCACCCCACCCTGTAACAGTCACTGCAGCCACCTCACCGGGGACCAAAACTGCCTGCTGATGTCCTAAGTAGGCGAGCAGGCTTTTCTGGGCCACCTCTCACACACCGGCCCCACGGCACCTGCGCCAAGAGCACGCCGTACCTGATATGAGCCGCCTGATGCTCTCCAGTTGAGCCGTCAGCAGCAACTCTTCACACTTCAGGATTTCAAACTGTACTTCATACAGCTGCAGCTGCAGCTCATAATAACCCGCCTCCAGCTGGTCCAGGTGGGCGATGGCCTCAGTGCCGCCCTGCAGGCTCTGCATCTGCAGCAACAACACATTTCCCTCTGTGAAGCACAGTGTGACGCTCTCCCACTGGAGACACGTGCTGTGCAGCCAGCAGTCCACATGCATGCCACACAGACGGGAGACTCACCGCGGAGCGGCCCGAGCCAGCTGCCCAGCCCCTGCTGGTGGCTGAGTAAGTATGGGCGGAGCAGCACCAGAGAGCGGAGGACAGGGAAGCCTTCCGCCTAGACATGGTGACCACCCGAGTCTCCCCGCGCCCCATCAGCTCCAGACATGGAGAGCAGTGAGAGGGCCTCTGGGATTCCAGGCAGACTGTCAGGTAGGGAAAGGCTGCGTATTCTGCTGGATATGCTGTGCTGGGGCACTGAAGAGCCACTGGGTGTGGCCCCAGTACCATAGCTTTCCTCCTGCCTCTATGGAGAAGGCAGCTCTAGGGAGATCTACCAGACACAGCAGCACTGCTGGGCTCGGCCTGGAAGGCCAGGACCACAGCACCCGCCTGACAGCCCAACTGCTCCACTTCCATTCATCTAGTCCACCTGCAAGAGAAGTGGTTAACGGCCAAAACCCTTGGGTCCACACCACTCAGGTAGAGACCAAGATTCTAATCTCAACTTGGCAAGAATTTCTGCTATTAACTCCTTTCAGAGAACTGCGTGTTACTCTACCATTCACAGTGATGAAAAGCCTTAAAAGTACAGCAGGATTTCTATTAAAAACAAAAAAAGGTTAAAATTTAAGAATAATTCACTTATTCACTAATCCACTCTAGAAGCAGCTTTGGCTCCTCCCTGCCCCTCCTTCAGAGCCCCTGACCAACAGGGCTTTGGGAACAGGCAGCTGTCGTGACCCCGGCCTCTCTGGGTAAGGCTGATGGAAGACCTCAGCTCTTTGTCACATTCTCTGACACCAACACTCACTAACATCTGACATGCATGTGCACACCCTTGTGCTGGGGGAAGAATACAATCCATCACATCTTCCTCCTAATCCTTCATGAAAACACTTGGAAGACAGCAAATGCTGAAAGGGCAAGGAAGCAGGAAACCTGGCTGGTCCGCAGCGTCTGGACTACCTTGAAGAACCAGGAGCCCTTAGCAGACAGTTGCACTCTGAGGAAGACGCGGTGTGTGGAAATGTGTTTTTTTCGGCTTATTCTATGAATATAGGTGACAATCTACCCCAAACAAAAAAAACCAGAACAGCTTAATACAAGCAGTATGTGTTAAAATAAGGTTGTCTCAAGGAAGAAAACAAAGAAATTCCACGTTCCAATCTCTGCTGGTTGGAACACTTAGGATAACCACCAGCACAGGTGACAGCTGCCAGCCTCCCGAGCACAGCGCCCGCAGGCCTATGCGGGCACAACGAGGATTAACAAGGGCACAGGGAAACAGTGGGTACTAACAGTAAACATGACCTCTGCTAGGTGGTGGATGAACAAACACTCCTAAGGATTTCTCAGAAGCTCTTACAGGAACAAATGCTCACCCCTGAAGCGGTCCTGCCGGAGCCGAGTGGGGGGAGCTGCTGACAGGGTGAGCCCGGGCATCACCAGCTCTAGCAAAGGGACACGGCCCGGGGATAATTACTCCATTTCGACACGGAGCAAAACTCCCTGCGTAACTGCCAGTAAAGCCGGGATGTGTGCAGTGCACTGCTGCCTGTCACGACTGCCAAGTCTGAGGGAGCGCGTATCTAACTCTACCAGGAGCTCACGCATCATGGACAAAAAAGGCAAGGGCCCACGCCAGACGCCGTGCGTCTGTGGTGTGCTGTTACCTCTTCCTTCAGGGCGTGCTTCCTCTGCTCCAAACAGATCTCCTTGGCCCTCATCATCTGCAGGGTCTCCTTGGAGACGGCGTACTGCAGTTTCTCCATGCGCTCCGCAGCCGCGGCCCACGAGGCTTTTCCAAACTTCTTCTGGTCGGCCCGCATGCGGTCATACACAGCTAGTAGTAATCAGAGACATGAGTGACATACACAACACCCGCTCTATCCTCAACATCAGGAAAACTGACAGTTCCAGCAGTACCTTTATTCCATGAAGGCTTATGTCTGCTGCAATACTGAGTTGAAATCAGAGTCAAATTAGCCAAGAATATTAATAATATTCTGTCTTCTTCTGAGTGTCATGAAGCCACTGTAACCACCTCTTATTGCAGAGATGAAATCCTGACGCTCAGAGTGCTACAGAGCAACACGGGCCACCCACGGGCGCCCTGGGCAGCCTGACACCCTGCAGCCGAGGGATGCCCCTGCCACTGCCCGGGCTTCCAGGCCAGTCCTCAGGCGAGGAACAAACCTTGCATGTGTCCACTACCCCCCTGCCCTTACCGTCACACCTGAAAAAGAGCAAAGCGCACGGTATCGGAGTGAGCGAGCGCGCATTAGCAGTTACTCAGGTGAGAAGCAAGCAGCAATCAGTTCCGTGCTACTACACCCTAAATATTTTGCAAGGAAGATGTTCCACTAACTTTTGCCTCAGATTTTTAAAATACTTATTTACTTTTATTTTAAAGGCAGACTTACAGAGAAAAAAGATTTTTCATCGACTGCATCACTTCCCAAATGGCCTCAAAAAGCCAGAGCTAGATTAGTATAAAGCCAGGAGCCAGGAGCTTCTTCAGGGTCTCCCATTGGGTACAGGGTTCAAAGGACAGGGCCATCTTCTGCTGCTTTACCAAGTCCATTCACAGGGAGCTGGTGAGTTAGGACTCCAACTGGTATCCATACGGGGTGAACACTGCAGGCACAGGCCTAATTTACTAATCCACAGTGCCGGTCCCTATCTCAGATTTTAAAGCCGTGTTTAAAAGTTAAAGCCACACGGGCAACTCCTTCCTTTGGGCTCTCTACACAGTGAAGGCAGTACTCAAACCCCCCCAGTTGCTCTCTACAACTGAAGATCCACTCCCAGAGGGTAAAGGCTTCCCTATTCTGGCCACTGGGGGATTTGCTGAGTGAGGCTCCCCACCCCAACGTTCCACCACTCGGGCCTCACTGATGTTAACAGAGGCTGAGGATTCCCAGCTTCCCCTGGACGGTTTCCAACAGCACTGTGAAGGGAACGTCGCATTGCACTGCATGTTGCCTGCAGCTCGCAGGAAAAATGCCAAGTCCACCACAGCTGGGGCTGTGATGATTTCTGGCTCAATGTCCTTGAGTGACACCAGTAAGGACATGGACTATCTACCAGTAACGCTGGAGAGGCCAGAAGGAGCGAAAGGGCCTGGTACAATTGCTTACAGCTAAAGTCCTCGCCTTATATCCACTGGGATCCCATATGGGCCCCGTTTCATATTCTGGCTGTTCCACTTCCCATCCAGCTCCCTGTCTGTGGCCTGGGAAAGCAGCCGAGGACGGCTCATAGCACCCGCGTGGGAGACCCAGAGGAGGATCCTGGCCCCAGACTGGTTCAGCTCCAGCCATTGTGGCTATCAGCGGACAGAGGATCTTTTTTCTCTCTCTTTCTCTCTGTATATCTGACTTTCCAATTAAAAAAAAAAAGGAGAGAAGGGAACTCAAGTGTTTCTTTCACTTCAAAATGGCAACAGGAGCTTCTTCCCACCACAAACAGCAATAGCTATGTACCTTATGAAACTACTAGCCCTATTTCTTTTCTTTCTTTTTATGGGGAGGACGCAGAGAGAAATCTCCCATCTGCTGGTTCACTACCCGAGTAGTCAAGGCCAGAACTGAGCTGAGACAAAGCCAGGAGCATCTTCTGGGTGTCCCATGTGGGTGCAGGTCCCAAGGCTTTGGGCTGTCCTTGATGCTTTCCCAGGCCACAGGTGGGGAGCAGGAAGGGAAGGGAAACAGCCAGGACACAAACTGTCACCCATACGGGATCCCAGGTGCTTGCAAGACAGATTCAGGCATTCACTGAGCCATCATCCTGGGTCTTCTTTCCCCTATTTCCGTCCTGTGCTTCTGTAGCCTAGGCAAGTCACACAGGGCAGGCTGAGGAGATCCAGTGACAAGGAGAAGCAAGCTTGTGTGCTCACAGCTGCTGCGGGTGCTCACACAACCGCGCATGAGTCTTTTTCCAGGTCCCCACTGGGGACCACAGCAGAGCAAGGGCAGTTCCATTGGCTCACCCTCAGGGCATCACAACCCTGCAGGACAACTCAATACACTGTCTTTTGTCATCTTTATATGAAAGCTGACTCTCCAGCAAAGCTGAAGTTCACAGCAGGAAAACCACTCCTCTAATGCTGGCTCTACTTCACGGTCGTTAGTTCACCACGTCCCTGGACTATCGGTCCTGTGGACAGCGCAGCTGCCACGTGACTCTGCGTGCACCGCTGCTTGCCTGTGGGCAAGGCAGCCGGCACTGGCACCATGGCTCAGTGGGCCAGCTCAGCAGAGGTTACTGTGCACTAACTGAGCAATACAGGATACATCCTTTTCCCCTGTCTTCAATTAGCCTCTTCGCATATTACTGCGTTTACTATGCTAAACACTCTCACTGTAACTCATTACAAGTCCTTTGTTATGTCATTTACAAACACTTTGCCAATACTATCAATTTCATTCTTTCCAACACCAGTGCATACACACTGACCAATCCCACTGCACAGGAGCCGGCAACGTGGCATGCCATGTTAGGCTACTGGCTATCAAGCTAGCATCCCACATCAGAGCACCAGTTTGAGTCCCATCTGCTGCTGGGTCTGAGGAAAGCAGCAGGTGTGGACTAAGTGCTTGGGCCCCTGCCACTCCCTGGATGGAGTTAAGGCTCCTGGCTTGGGCCTTGCCCAGCTCTAAGAGCCCCTGGGGAGTCAATCAGCAGACACAACCTCTGTCCCTCTCTCTGTCTCTGGAAACAAACAAAAGCCCTTAATAGATTGTCCTTTATGGTTTAGGCTCATTAATACTTTATCTTTCACAGTTTTTACTGATGGTGTCAAAGCACTCTGCTAACTCTAAGAAAACAGCTGCTTCACTTCATTTTCCACAGAAGTTCTGCCGCTCACTCCGTGGCACAGGCTGTCACCACGGGCACCGGGATGGCTCTGACTGCCATGCATTTAATTTTGTTTTTCAACAATACCTGGCCACACATTTTCCCCTCAAATGTCCTGACAAGGCCAGCTGCCCGAGGAGCCTACCTTTCTGTGCTTTAGCGGTGATTTCGAAGTACTTGACAGTGAGGTCCTGGATAGACAGCACGGCCATCTGTGCTTTCCGCTGCCAATCCGCATCTTCTTTCCGAAGACTTTCAATCCTTCGAGGTCCCAGATAATCATTCTCCATGGAGATCTTTAGAGAGAGCAAGGGAGAAAGGAGAACTTCACTTCTTTTCTTCACTAATCAAACATTTCCTGAATTTTTGTCATTTCCGCCTAGGAGAATGTACTGGTTTACAGAGTATCTGAAACAGACAACTGCATCCTTTCCTCATTTTGTATCTGAGCAAAGGAGAACCCCATGATGTTGGCCGGCTGTGGTCATGACTTCCTTGCGAGAACCAGGTTACAAATTATTGGTGTGACATCAGGGAAATGCTAAAACAATGCAGATTAGTATAAAAGTGCATTTCAAACACTGCACAGGTATACTTTTATCGTGGATGTAATGTGCAATTCGGCAATCCCAACCATGGGCCGGGGTATACCTCCTGCTCCAGCACAGAGAAAAGGAATGCCAACTCACTCAACAGTTAGTAGGAATGATACTAGCTCGTACAAATCACAAAAGCCATTTCACTAAACAAGCCACTGCCAAACAGATTTGAATCCAAGATTAAGTCATCTGAATTTAATCCCATAGTCCACAGAAGCTGACCTTGGTGCTTGCTTGCCTTCCTGCCTTGCTTTATTTACTTATATTGGAAAGGCATATCATTTAAAAAGAGGAGACAGATCTGTTCCAATGGCTGAAACTGAGCTGATCCAAAGCCAGGAGCCAAGAGCTCTCCCAGGCGGGTGCAGGCTCCCAAGGCTTTGGGCCGTCCGACTGCTTTCCCAGGCCACAGTCAGGGAGCTGGATGGGAAGTGGGGCAGCTGGGACTAGAACCAGTACCCATATGGGATCCCAGTGCTTCCAGGTGAGGATTTAGCCACTGAGCCATTGCACCAGGCCCACCCTGGTGTTATCTTAAAGCAACAGTGCACTGCGCAGAGTGCCCCAGAGAGCAAACACCACAGCAGCAGTGAGTGCCGGGCAGGAGAACCAGGATTTGGTTCTCCATGTGCCAAGCCTGATGCTCCAAAGGTGATGGACAGCTGACACCCACCTTGAGGCTAACTCTGCCCTGAGGGCGGAGGGGACCACAGGCCCCTGTAAGCAGAGCTCAGACCCCTTTCCCCTAGGAACCGTGCTGACCCTAGGTCCGGCATCGGACACGGTGCCACACGGCACATCAAGGCCTGTGGTGTCTCTGTGGACCAGGAGCATGCGTGTCACTCAGCTCACACAGAGCAGTGCACCCTTCCCGCCTTCTCCAAGCTCCTCGGGGAACACTCCATTTTCCCCTGATGCAAGCAGCCAGATTCCCTACATTTTGTCACCAAGGAAGGTGAACACTCTTCTGAGAACAGGAGGGGATGGAACAGAACAGAAAAAGGTCAGCAGGCCAAGGCAGCGGTGGAGGTGGGCATGTAGGCGTGCCCTGCCCACGGGAGGGAGGCCGTGCAGGAGAGTGATAGGCGGGCTATAAACAGCTGCAGACGAGGTGGGCCTGAGCAGGGCCGTCCTGCAGACCACCATGGAGACAGCAGCATTCATAGCGGGCAGAAGACTCCAGAACCATACTCATGGCTGAAATCATACTAGGAGAGCCAGTGGGGCCACTGCTGTGACAGAGAGACTAAAGCCACCGCCTGGAATCCTGGCCACTGCACTGCCATGTCAGCTACTTGCCTCCAGAATTGGAGAAGCAGGGGAGAGGGGCCCGAGTATTTGGGTCCTACCACCCAAGTGAGCCATTCTCTCCCGGCTTCAGTTCCCCCCAACCTACTCACTGAGGCCACTAGGACTGCGCCAGAAGACAGAGAGCCCTCTACGTGCTGCCTTCCTTCTCCAGGGCGCAGACCCTGGAGAGCCGAGCTGCACTGCAGGCCACGCTGGCCAGGACAGCTGCACAGTACTGCAGCAATTCAAGTGCTAGGTCTATCACAATATTGAGTGACAACACAAAGGAGGCATACCACTTTGGCACTTTGCTGCTCTGTATCCTGACTGGTGAATCAAGGGAAAAGGAGACATTTGCCATCTTGACCCGCTGATTTAGCAACACTGTCATAATCTGAGATCAGCTATAAAATCCAACCTTAACAGCTGCTTGTGCCTTTTAAAGCTCTACCATTACATTACTGTGCCTTTCAAGACAAACCTCGTGATGCAGAAATAGTACAACTAAACACTATTCAAAACATGACAAGGCAGGCGGAGGTAGGCGAGGGTCCTTGCAGGAAGCAGGAAGGTGAGGACCGCCCAGGTCACAACTGCTGGGTCACAATACATTACACGGAATTAGCTTTGAAGATGCACTAGGGCTCGACAGAAACCAGGTATCTACACACAGCTATGCAGTGTGAGGGTGTGTGGCTGTGTGTGTGATCAGGACACACAGAGAGCTGGGCTCAGGGCACAGCACAGGGTACCTTGATCTGCTGCCTTCGCAGCATGGCGAGTTCTCTCATGTCTCGGAATGGCTGCAGCAGGTACTGGTAGAGTTCCGTCGTGGCTTCGGCCAGGCTGCTGTACGCCTCATCCTCCCGCTGATACAGGTCCAGGAGCTCCACCATGCTCTCTGTATTCTTGTGCTTATCCAAGAGCTGCAGAATCAATCACAACAACCTATTAGCGAGTCTGATGGTTCCTGTTTAGGGACTGCGGAATCATGCAACACAAATGCAAGAGGGAACTAAAAAAGCTGCTTTTCTTAACGTCGCTGCTCCACTTGCAATCCAGCTCCCTAATCAAGCACCTGCGAGGGCACAGCCAGAGGGACCAAGTACAGGAGTCCCTGCTAGTACAGAGACCAGAAGGAGTTCCAGGTTCTGGCTTTACCCTGGCCCAGCCTACCACTTTTTATTTTTATTATTATTATTTTTAAAGATTTATTTTTATTGGAAAGGCAGATATACAGAGAGGAGAGACAGAGAGGAAGATCTTCCGTCCGATGATTCACTCCCCACGTGAGCACAACGGCCGCTGCTATGCCGATCCGAAGCCAGGAGCCTCTTCTGGGTCTCCCACGCGGGTGCAGGGTCCCAAAGCTTTGGGCCGTCCTCTGCTGCTTTCCCAGGCCACAGGCAGGGAGCTGGAAGGGAAGTGGGCTGCCGGGATAGAACTGGTGCCCATATGGGATCCCGGACGTGCAAGGCGAGGACCTTAACCACTTGCGCCACCGCGCCGGGCCCCAGCCTACCACTTTTTAAAAAAGATGTATTTATTTATTTTTACTGCGAAGTTAGATATACACAGAGGAAGAGAGGAAGTCTTCCGTCCAATGGTCCACTCCCCAAGTGACCACAACGGCCAGAGCTATGCCAATCTGAAACCAGGAGCCAGGAGCCCTTCCAGGTCTCTCACATACGAGTGCAGGGTCCCAAGGCTTTGGGCCGTCCTCAACTGCTTTCCCAGGCCACAAGCAGGGAGCTGGATGGGAAGTGGGGCCACCAGGACTAGAACCAACGACCATATGGGATCCCGGCACGTGCAAGGTAAGGCCCTTAACCACCGAGCCCAAGCCTACCGCTTCCTTTTTTTTTTCATAGCCTTATTATTATTATGATTATTATTATCATTTTATGATACAGTTCCATAGGCTCTGGGATTTCCTACACCCCCTCTAATTCCCTCCTCCCCCCAAAGTTCCCCTATATTATTACTACACTACAGTCGCATGTCCATCATTAAGGGCATGGACAATGGCAGAAGTTTCACTGAGAGTCCATACCGCATTGTGTTCTCACATCTGGCTATGACAAATTTCCATTACACAGTTACGATACATCCCCTTACATGAAAAATCACAATGCAAAATCAACAGGAAGAAAAATAGAAATTTACGATGCCATGAAGTTAAATAACCTGCTACTAGATATGGTGTGAGTCTTCATTACATTTATTATACATCCCCTTAAATGAAAAGACACAAAACAAACACAGGAAGAAAAAAGAAATTAACAATGCATGAAGTTAAATAACATGCTAAATAATGTGTCACTGAAGAAAATCAAGAGCCTTCTTGAAGAAAATGATGCTATTGTATGATCTATCTGAAGAGGTTAAACTTATAAAAATATCAAAATCCGTATTACAGTTTCTGCTAATCTTTGTTGGTGAGATGTCTCCTGTAGGCAATAGATGGGTTTTGGTTTGTTAAAAAAAAAATCCAGTTCACATTATACGTAGCTCCAACTAGGCCGCAGCTCCCACTGGTTCATGCGTGGGCTGAGCGCACGCTGGGCAGAACCAAGGCTTACCACTTCCAATCCACCTCACTGCTAATGGCCTAAGAAAAAGCAGAGGCCAGCCCAGTGCTTAGGCCTGTGGGGACACCAGAAGAAACTGCAGGCCCCAGGCTCCATCTGGCTCTGCCCTGGCCCTTGCAGCAACATGGGAAGTAAACGAGCAGTAAGAAACTTCTGTGTCTCTCCCTCTCTGTGTAACTCCAACATTCAAATAAATAAACCTTTAAAAAAGAAAGTAAAGAAGCCCACAGTACTGGCACAACCACTTGCAGCACAGGGAAGAGATCTCTTTTCAATAATTAAATACAAATTTTTAAAAATCTATTCCATTTTCTCAGATTCAGAATATGGAGTTCATGACACAAGCAAGACACTGGAAAAAGTGTGAGAGAAAAGTAGTCCAAATCTTGAAATTTCTGGCTCGTCACAGAATATTCGCAGTCACACCCTAGACAACACTTAATGAATTTAGTGTACACTGCAGTTACAGCCTTCCACAAGGGAGGCGGAGTTTGCAGCTCGAATCCCATCAATTTAACTGTCTGCTTAAAAAAAAAAAAAAAAAGCACCCTGGAGGAAGGCAACAATCCAGACATGCTACAATGTCTCGCTGACAACATCAGGATATGATTTAAAATTAGCAGATCTAAAAAGAAGGAAGGACACAGAACTGTTCAAAACACAATACATGGAAGAAAAAAACCCAAGATGACAGAGACTCAGAGTCAGCAAGGATGGAAGAGCAGCGCTACCACTGCCAAGGGACATAAAGAGCACACAGCACACAACGGAACAGCCATGTGGGCACCAGTCTGTGTCCCGGCAGTCCCACTTCCCATCCAGCTCCCTGCTTGTGGCCTGGGAAAGCAGTCGAGGACGGCCCAGAGCCTTGGGACCCTGCACCCAGGGAGGAGACTCAGAAGAAGCCCCTGGCTCCTGGTTTCAGATCAGCTCAGCTCCCATCATTTGGGGAGTGAACCAGCAGATGCAAGATCTTTGTTTCTCCTTCCCTCTGTAAATCTGATCTGACTTTCCAATAAGTAAATAAATCTTTTTAAAAAATAAATAAATGCACCCTGATACTGAGAAGTCCAATACTGGATTGCATTTCACTTGACTGGAATAGAGCACAATAATGCAAGTAAGCAATCTTATTTAAAAGGAAATGGAGGGTCCGGCGCGATAGCATAATGGTTAAAGTCCTTGCCTTGAATGCGCCGGGATCCTATATAGACACCTGTTCTAATCCAGGCAGCTCCCTGCTTGTGGCCTGGGAAAACAGTCGAGGACAGTCCAGAGCCTTGGGACCCTGCACCCGTGTGGGAGACCCCGTGATTCATTGGACAGAAGATCTTCCTCTCTGCATATCTGACTTTGTGATAAAAATAATAAATCTTTGAAGAGTAAAAAAAATCTGTGTGTAGGGGGGGCAGGTGAAACAGACTTTTTAAAAAAATTAATGAACAGAATCCTAATAATTGGAAAATACTTTTTTTAAAGATTTATTTATTTATTGGAAAGTCAGGTATACAGAGAGGAGGAGGAGAGACAGAGAGGAAGATCTTCCATCCGATGATTCACTCCCCAAGTGAGCGCAACGGCCGATGCTATGCCGATCCAAAGCCAGGAGCCACAAGCTTCCTCCCGGTTTCCCACACAGGCGGGCACAGGGTCCCAAGGCTTTGGGCCGTCCTCGACTGCTTTCCCAGGCCACAAGCAGGGAGCTGGATGGGAAGTGGAACTGCCAGGATTAGAACCGGCGCCCATATGGGATCCCAGCGCGTTCAAGGTGAGGCCTTTAGCTGCTAGGCCATGCTGTCGGGCCCAACTGGAAAATATTTTAAAGATTATATTTAATCAGGTTCCAGCAACAGTTAATGGTGCATAAGGATATTTCAGAAAAAAGTCCAAATACCGAAAATTTACATCTGAAAAGAGCCAAAGAAAAGTAACATGTAAGAGGCACACAGGGATGCTGACTTCAAATGCCTAAGAATTCAGATAGAACACCGTATGTGACAAATGAGCAGACCGTTTCAGAACAGAACACATGAGCATATAACGTGTGTGTGTGTGTACATGTGTAGCATATAATGTGACTCTAACACACTGAACAGCTAGAACGGACGGGGTGGAGAGGAACCCACCACATGGCACACACAGGCTCCCACACTTAACGTGAAGGGGGACATTATTCACCCTAGGAAGGGTATATCCCCATGGAAACCACTAGAAGAATACGTGGAAGTATAGCTATAAACATAGCAGATTGCAGTGGAATTCTAAAAATACTACAGGAGCCAGCAATGTGGCCTGCAGGATAGAGCCACCACCTGCAATGCTGGCATCCCATTCAGGCATCAGTCTACACCGCAGCCACTCCACCTCTGCTACAGCCCCTGCGGACGATGGCCAAGTGTCTGTGGCCCAGCACCAACAGGAGAGGCTCTAACTCTCCCTCTAGCTTTCTCTCCCCTCCCCTTGCTCTGCCTTTCATAGAAACAACAAATCATTTTAAAAGAAACAAGGAATTACATTAAATGTAACTTGACTCAACACCCTTAATTTGAGCACAGGCTGGTCACAGGCTCCCAGCTGGAGCACAACAGGCAAAGCCTTCAGCCGCCAGGCGAGGCCAGCACCCCACAGCAGTGCTGCTCTGTGCTCCACTCTTCTGCTGCTCCCCAGCTCCCTGCTAACGCTTGTGGGAGACCTGGAGGAAGCTCCTCCCAGGCTTTGCCACTGCAGCCATTTGGGATACGAGCCAGCAGATGGAAGCGCTCTGTCTCTCAAACATCACACAGTCCCCAACAAATCTGTTAGCCCTGAAAACAAGTCAGACTCAAACAAAATTTTAGCACAGAGTATATATGTTCTGACTAAAGCAGAACTATAGCAATGTGGAAGGATCTGAAATATCTGAACTTTTTAAGTTCAACATACTTAAAAAGCCTGAATATTATGGGACTGGTGGTGATACAATTGCTTAAGCCTCTGTCTGCAGTACTGTCTCTCTGTATGGGTGCTGGTTCAAGTCCCAGCTGTTGCACTTCTACTCCAGCTCCCTGCTAATGTGCCCAAGAAAGCAGTGAAAGATAGTCCAAATCCTTGGGACCCTGAACCCACATGGGAGACCAGGAAGAAGCCCTAGACTCCTGGTTTTGCCCATTGTCATCATTTGGGAAATGAACCAGTTGATGGATGACTGCTCTCTTTCTTGCTCTAAATCGACATGTAAGGCAAAATCAATCTTTTTTAAACAAAGAAAAAACATCACAAAAGGCTAATTACTAGAGAGTCCGAATGCGGCTGGTGCTGTGTCACGAAATACAAAGCCAGCATCCCATTCACTCTCT